TAATTTGGTTTGCCACTTGACATTTAACTACGATTATAATCACAAACATTTTAGATTTTAATTGTATTTCATACTACTACTATTATTATTTCATGCACTCACACCTATTATTCAATTTCCTCACCGGATATAACTTCTTAAAAACCATTTATATACATCTCCACTGCCAGGGAAAATTACAACGAAACTGCTCGCCAGTAAGCCCTGGTTGATTTTCAGTCGTTCTATAACTGATGTCATCTCGTGATGCAACCTGAAACCGTTGAATTCTCCTCAAATCAATGCTGAGGAAAAAAATTGATCCACATTCCAATGCTGCCTGAAGGATGATAGACTTCCCTGATATTCTTGTTAGCAGTGGTAACCAGTGAGATTCAGAAAGTAGGGTATCAGAAGAAGTAGTTGCCAATAACATTGACTAGAGGTGTTGTTATCCATCACCAATTGTCGGTTGTTCTGTAAGAATGTTATTCGTTTTAAGATCAATATCCGTTGAACCATGATTGATAACCACCTGGAGGTACTAGAAAGTTGTTTCTACCTAATATGAGAATAGTCAGGAGCAAGTGGACTCACCAGATTTTGAACCCGGGAAATTCCATTCACAAAGGAAGCTTGAAGACCACTCAGGCAATGAGAGAGACACCGTCCAGATGGATTAGACACACAATGAGGAGACTGTCCATGGTTATCACACCTGCTTGACAAAACGTTGAGCTCAACCCAAATTAGAAGCGACGAGTTTAGGTTGAATTCGAGTGAAGATGAGATGGGAACTAATGAGCGATCATGGGGTCAGCTCAAGATGACGGAAGAAAACAGTGTAAGTCGAGAGATGCTTTGCAAGTCCCAGGTTCCACTCAGAACCTAAGGGAATAATCACAACAATACATCAGGTATGGAAAGCATGCATGGATAGATGTATCGGTGAATGGATGAATCACAGTATTTCAGATGTTTATAAGTAATATTGGTGTCAGTTGAGCAATACATTTACCTCAATGCAAGGTACGACGAATTCGGACTAACTAGAGACATTTAACTCACCCTTGCACATCATTCACCAGAAGATTTCGTGATGACAATCAGGAAATACAGATATCACATTACACTATAAACACTAAATTGATCTCATTGGAGGTGTCGGTGATATCTGATGATGTTGCTGATGTTGACGCAGTGAACTGACGCAGTCCTTTCTCAATTAGAAACAAACACACAAACGAGCAGCGACTTACCAATAATAAACAGATTCATTGCTATCATTCGCTCTAGTTGCATTCCTGACATTCGCAAACATTTCTCCTCAACATTCTCTGGACAAAAAGTGATAGAATGAAATGAGGCAAACTTCAAGATAATTCAATCAAACAGTCAACATGAAATGGGTGTTCTCCGTGTCAACATATTATCGCGCATTCCGAACGCACGCATACATACTTGAGTTGGGAAGCCGTTGTAGATGAGGCTAATTATTCATCATGTCTGAGTAATTACTCAATCAGTTGTTGTAGTTAATTTCAGAGTAGAATTTTGAGATTATGGAAAGAAAATTGATCCACGTTGGATGAATGTTCCCCAGTGTAGTTTTGTTCACTGAGCTTGATGGTTCAGTTGACGAGCTCTCATCGCCTCACTACACAGCATCCTCAACCGCTCGAGAGTCATCTCATCCACTCACGACGGACTACCACAAATCATTGCTTCTGTATGATTCGAGATAACAAAGTCTGATGCTTGTTTGAAATTTGACATTTGTTTCAACATTTGTTTACCTCTTGATTGGATAAAATCCTTTTCAATAAGATTTCCCAAGTCTTCTCCGGCAGTTAGTTCATCTATAATGAAGAGCAGAACTCAATTCTAATGAGGGTGTCATTTCAATATTTTTAGGTGAAATTTGAAGTGAATTACTTGTGGGTCTGATTAAACGTGTACAATTGGAGAGTTTGTCGGCATGTGGTGTCAATATTGTATGTGTGTATGTACATTAGACGAACACTTGCATAAGAGACATTTACTCTGTAGGAACTCAGTACACGTTAGCGCAATATATCGTTGACTATCTACCAGTGAATGCAATGCGATTGCTGACATTTTCTCTAAAGACTCTCCCACCTACTCGGGTCAGTCATTCTACACTGAACTCAATCCATGTGAATAAGGATAAGTGTGAGGCCAGAAATCCCATTTTACGGAAAACGCTACAGTTATTGAAACTTCGAAGATTACGCTTGACTTCGTATCTTCCTTTCGAAGCTCTAACGAATTGAATAACTAACTAACCAGATCAGCTTCACTATGGAGCGAAAACGTAGGCTTTGGATCAAAGTCTTCAGTAGTCTGTTGAATATGCTTCCAGTGAAGCGCATTTCAAGTCACTCAACCATATGGAAGAACTTAGTCAATATTGCTGTTGAAAATCAAAATTTTGTTCATCATGCTGAGTGAAGTAGATATGTGGAATGATTTCTGAAAGAATAAAGTCTCTCTTGACCTTCCGATCCTGAATGGTTTCAACATCGTCATTCATGAGGCCGCTTGTTGTTGGTACCACATTTTCTAGTTGAATGAGTGAAGGCAGTTATCTGTTTCAAACTCCTCCTACTGGTAGTGACTGTTGTTGGATGTTGCTTCATTTGGCTGATTGTTTTGTTGTTTGGTTCATTGGTTGGTTTTTAAGTTGTCCTCATGATATCCTTCTTTTTCGTGCTCATTTGAAGTCCTATCTTGTCTTGGTTTTCCGATTCTGGCTTTGATATCCTCGTCATTTCCGCCCGCCTGTAGTTGAAACGGTGATTCCCAGGTAGGTAGTTAGGCGAAGGAGGTTGTTTCTTTCAGGTTCCGCCCATTCAAGCCGATTGTTTTCTGTTGTTGGTGTTGCTGCTGTTGGCCGGAATCTTCATCAACTCTGCTTTATCTATGTTCACTTGAAGTCCTATCTTTGATTCTTCTTCTGCCAGCTTGTTGCTTTTCACTTGTATATCTTCCAGTTTGTGGGAAATCAGACACATGTCATCGGCGAAGTCCGATCCTCCAAGTTTTTTGTGTGAGTCCATTTTATGCCTGTTTCCTCATTACACACCGCTGTCTGTCGCATTATCCAGTCTACTGCAATCAGGAAGATCATTGGTGATAATAGATAGCCTTGCCTCACTCCCGTCCTCACTTCGAAGGATTCCGTAAGTCTCCCGTTGTGGATTACTTGGCATGCAGCATTGTCGTATAACTGTTGGGTGAGAGGTATAATTGTCGATGGGACCCCGTAGTAGCGAATTAGTTGCCACATGACCTCTCGATTGACGCTGTCAAAGGCCTTTTCAAAGTCGATGAAGTTGAGTGAGGTGGAGAGGTGACTGCCATTCCAAGCTATGTTCAATGATGATCCGTAGAGTGGCGATTTGATCAATACATGACTTGTTTCTCCTGAATCCAGCCTATTCCGGTAGAAGTTTTTCATCCAGGTTGGCTTGTTTGATTCTCTCCAGGATGATGCGCCTTAGAATTTTCCTTGAAATGGAGAGGAGCAGAATTCCGCACCAGTTTTCTCATTGACTTAAGTCTCCTTTCTTCGGTAGTTTGAATAAGTATCCTTTTTCCCAATCCCCGGCTACCTAGCCCTCTTTCCACACCTTCACCAGTAATGGCGTCATCAAGTCCGCTGTTGTCTCTGGGTCCACATCTAACCAGTTAACAAAATGAAAATCTTACTAAATAACTAATTTAGTATCTCATCAACTTACCCTGAACTGTCTCACTTTGCAACTAAATAAATAAACGCATATAACTGGCCAACGTATTCATTAACTAACTTGCTTGTTTGCGTACTTTCTGTGAGTACAGTAAAATTTATTACAAAAATACTCATGTGAATTATGAAATGAAATTTTCAGGAATCTAATGTGTGAGAATCGTTCCAATGTAGTTACACAGGTATCCAGGTAATTACAAGCAATTGTTATTGTGACCTCAAATTTCTGTTCTAAATTCTACATGAGAGATTTACGCAGTTACACAAAATGTTGAGAAGTGCATCAAAATTCCCACACACCACACACACACACACACTCTCTTTCTTTTTCTCACATTCACTGACCACCTGTAGGATATAAATAGGGCGGTGATTATTCGTTTGCTATACAATTCAATATCGCTGCACACTAACAACATGATTGAGAAGCATTGCCTGATAGTGGCGTTTGTTTGGACGTTGTTTCAATGTAAGTGATTCTCAGTAGTATCACGTAACTTTGTATTGTGTGTATTGCACTAAACTCTTTTTTATGATTCCAAATTTCCGTGTGTGTTCAGCAAACGGTACACCGCTTGCTTACATCCAACTCATAATGGACACAACGAGGTTGCTGTGCATCCTCCTGTGTCTTCTTTTGACATAACTGAACAATAAAGATGACCGTTTTCAATAACGCTGAGTAGTTGATACCGATAGATTACAATTGGAAGTGCATCTGTGAGAGATTGATAATATTCTGCACGACGTATTTTCGACACGACCATTGTGATTCCACGAGTGAGGGACGAAATACCTCTGCTGGCCATCGCCTCTAATTTTATCTATCTCTTAACCTGTCTGTATTTGTGGATCAATTGAGGTGCTGCTGTGAAGACAGATATATTGATCGTTGTTCTAGACAATTAATTGTTCGTTAAATAAATGTTGGTTGAATAAATTTGTATTGAGAACAGTTCAGTATGAGACCACCTCGTCCAAACAGGCCACAACTCTAACATTGCAGATACCTTTTCCCTCGCCAAAAGGCTCCAAGGTACCAAATACTTCAAACAGAAGAGGCTATTGCAATTCGCCTGAAACATCTGGGTCTCTAAATGATAAAGAATCATCTTCAGCCACTGCTCTGGATCCTTAACCTTCTGTGGAACCTACAAATATGCCTTGTTGATTAATCAGTCTTTTAATTTGACACCTGTGAATGAATAATTTCACCCTGGTTTGTTTTGTTTTGTCAATTTCGTTACAGTGTCTCACGTGCTGTGCAATGAATTATCTCCGGTACAAAACAGTAAGTTGTGGTAGCAGTGTTGTGTTGACGACTTGAATTTATTTTCGACTACACTAAGTTGGTCCTGTGCAGACTGCTTAAGAATTAACTTTTTAGCAGGAATTGAAGTTGATGAATTATAATCCCCGTGTATAACTAACTATATGATCACAAGTATACAGGTACAGAATGCTAATGAAACGAGAGGAGATAGGAGACCTGCAAGCGACCTTTCTTATCGAAAACAAAGTTCGGCTAGTCGAAAGGGAGTAGATATATCTGAAGGGTTGGTGATTCGGTCAATGTTAAGCAGGTTCCATAATGCTCACTGAGTAAACTTAATCCAGATTTGAGGAATAAACACTTCCACGTCTGTAGCCATTCACTTGAAATATTGATTTGAATTTTACCCGATTTCCACTAATCTACATCACATTTCACTATTGCTAATTGGTATTCTCTATTCGATTAAATATGTTGCAATTGGCGTAGACATTATTATTATTATATACTTTAATTCCTAGAGGAACATAGGGCTTCAGCCACGCGTCTCCATTGCCATTGAAGTGTTCAGCCCAGTGTTTTCTTTGCTCCACCTCTTTGGTGATTGACTTTCATTGTCATCCTTTACTGGCCTAATCTGTGTCGAACGTTTGCCCGATAGGTGCCTAGTTGTTTGGTAGAGTGTGGTGAGGTCTTCTTTGCCTGCACTGCAGCTTTTTCTGCTTCACTCACCATGGCTTCATAATATTTTCTTTTGTCTTCCCTGGCACTCTTCTTTACTCTTTTGTTGAGCATGTTGTAGCTTTCATTCAACTCTGTTTTTGTTGCTCGTCAGTGCACTGGATAATCTTTTGTTTCACTGTCCTTCTCTCTTCTATTAGTTTCCAAGTGTCCGTAGTGAGCCACTGTTTGTCCTGTCTCTTTTTTCTGCCTAGAATTTCTATGCAGGTTTGGCTCCACACCGTTTTCAAGTTGTTCCAGTGCTTTTCGACGCTGACCTTTTCGCTGGTGTTGATTTGTATCTCAGCTTTGTCCTTTATGCTTGCAATGAAGATGTCCTTTGTAGCCTGGTCCTTCAGCTTTTGAGTGTTGAACTTGGCTTGTGGTCTATCTGCAGCTCCTGATTCCCTGAAAGCTTTTAATTTGATTTGGATTGTCCCTTGTACGAGATAGTGGTCTGAGCCAACGTCTGCTCCTCTTCTAGCTTTTGTGTCCAGTAGGCTGCGCCTCCACTTCCTTGAGATTGAGATGAAGTCGATTTGGTTTTTGGTTTGCCCGTCTGGTGACACCCATGTAGCCTTGTGGATATCTTTGTGTTTATGTACACTGCCATCAATCACTAGTTCGTTGAAGGCGCAGAAGTCGGCGAAGAGTTCTCCATTTTCATTCATTTCTCTAAGAGCTTCTCTACTCATGATGAGTTCCCTTCCTGTGTTGTCTGGTCTCAGTTTGGCGTTCATGTCTCACATTAGTATTTTAATGTCACCAGCTGGAGTATTGTCCATCGCTGCCTGTAGTTGTCTGTAGAATTCTCCTTTGTTTTCGAGGTCTGCGTAGTCTGTGGGTGCATAACATTGTATAATTGACACTTTCCTTCCTTTGGAGTTGGATGTGGCGGTCATTATCCTGGACCAGATCGCCTCCGATTGAATCAGAGCCTTTGTTGCCGTTGGTGACATCATGATAGCCATGCCCTCGGTGTGCGTGTGGTTAACGTCTGGGTGACCAGAGTAGATCACTGACTCACCCTTTGCCAATTTGGTGAGTCTATTCACGTTCCATCTGATTTCACATATTCCCAGTACTTTGATTCCGTATCTTTTCATCTCGTTTGCGATCTGGGCAGCTTTGTCAATCTCGTACATGGTGCGGACTTTCCATGTCCCCACACAGACTTTTTATTTTGGCGCAAGGAGATTCATCGTGCTGACGTTTCTGTGGAAACCCTGTTCACAGGGTGGGGTTGCTAGCCTCACGCCTGAGAAAGGAATTGTTACATCAAGAAATAGAAATTATTCTCTCTCATTAGCAGGTATCACTAAGAGAAGTATGGGCGGCGTTCTTCGTCATCAAGGTTCAACTGATTTCTACATCAGAATATGTAACACAAAGATGACGTAGGCCAGCGTCAGACAAGACTACTTAATGAAACAGTAGGATAAGAGGAGATCTGACGAGCGAATGCATATGTGTTTGAGCTGAATACGCGGCCTTTTCAGCACATGTTCACTGAACGCCCTTCTCCACAGTCACTTTCAAATGGTCCTTTCCCATCCAACAAACTTTCAATTCCTCCTTACAACAAACAGGGAAACCATGTCATTACCAGTATTTATATTTGTCAACTGAAAATACCACCTTCAACTGTCTTCATTTTGTGTTTCCTTATTTTCTATCTTCTAGACGAATTGGACACGCTGATCAAGCGTTACAGTGAAATCTATGGCTCTTACAAGTCAGCTGAATGTGAGTGAGGTTAATTCAAGTGTTGGTTAGTAGGCATATGAATGATTTATTCATGTGTGTTATCGTATTGAACTCAATTGTAGGAGCATTGAAACATTCACAGAGTCATGGACACCTACCTGATCCTTCTTCGACAACACAGATCAGTAGGTGTGCATGTTTAAATGCAAGCCCATTGATGATGCACTCATTGGTACGGAATTCCGTGACTGACCAATAAACTCTAACTTCTGCCTATTTGACATATACAACGCAAACACTAATCAATATAATTGGGGAGTCTTTGTAGTCTGAACCAACTGGGTTAGATTAGCGGTGGGTGTAGTCGTGAGCTCCTTCCACTAACCACCTTCAAAACTAGATTGAGACAGCCGTCTCTGGTTTGTGATGCCTCTCTAACTGACACCATTCACTACGTGATCAAACTTGAAGTGATTCTAATGCACAAGGAAGTTCAGATTTCATGCTGAATCCCCTTTTATATCGTATGCACATAATCTCTAAACCTCATCAAAACATGTTGATTACGTATTTTATTAACTTCATGTAATCATTAAAGGTCGAAACCGACTGAATTGTAGTCTGGTCGCAGTGAGCCGATGTTTGCGTCCTACTGCATCACCATCAAAAGCTCTCCTGAGAGACACCCAGTCACAAAACACTCAAAAGACAGGAGAAATGATTATTTCTCGATAGATTTATCTGTGGTTTTATTCAAATATAAAACGTCTAAACTCCATTTCTCCTCAACAGTGTCAAATTATTTTGCATAATACAAAACAAACACAGAGAATGGAAAGGATATTCCCAACACTGTGGAATCATAGCTCTGTCACCCGACAAACAATTCCCGTAGACAGTCCAAAGTCTCATTGACGTTGACTCACTAAAAACATCTCATTGTATAGCAGCACGTCATCAATTTTATCACACACTCTTAAGAGAAGCACTAAGAATAGAGATTCAACAGGGAGCAATACAAGTGGTACTGATAAAATCAACATTTGACATTGTAGTTTAGGAGAAGCACAGATAATCATCATGAAGTTAAATGATTCGTCCAAATAAGTTTGAATACTGTGGTTGGACGGATCAGGGGAGATTTTGCAAACAGTTACTCCGTCACAGTGATTACTTGTGAAATATTTGAGTGTATTAATCTGTTTTCCAGGCGTAGCATTACTGGCAGTCAGAACACCAGAAATCGATTGGAAAGTGGAGGATTTTAACGATGGTGAGATATTCAAGCTAATTTCAGTGATAATATTGATGATGATGATAATAACGGTGATATTTTATTCAATGACAACCTGTTAATACTTGTCTAATGACGCGAGAGATTGTAGAGCAGAATGCAGGATGGGTTACATTCGAAAGTGTTTCGAGTTTTGCACCTAAGCCAATGTTCCGTGTTTGATCACTGATAGATGTCAGGTAGGGAAACAGTGACAACGACCTTTAAATACCGGGCGGTAATTTTATCCTAGTTTGACATTCTGTAGATCATCCTGCAAATGAACGGATCCGACATTTCAACTCCAGTCGGTGCGTACTTCCAAAGAGTCTCAAAGTAGGATGTAGCATCTCTCAGGTACTCGTGGTTGGTTTTCAATCTTCCTCTATAACCGACATCAATCTGTGGACAAGTTTGAGACGAATCAAGGCACTACAAAAGTTATGCTGAACATTTCTATTTTAATTTACGATCATTCTACTGCAAGTGGCAAGCGAAACATTTCAAGTCTTATTACCGCTGTATTGACAGAAGACAGAGGTATTTTGTGCCAGGACTGTTTATTCATTTCATGAATAATCTCCATCCAGGGATTAGTTGAAAAAAGCAAGTGTTTCAGCAAAGGGTCTCTCGATCGACGATTTCAATTTGCTCATTCGCTTTACGATCGTCGCATTTATGTATAATTTCTTCCGACAAAATAGGTCAGATAGCGACAAAAGTGATGACTTGTCACAACCATGATTTTCAATGTCAATCAATGTTATGGGTGCAGCTAAATATTGGATATCTGAATTACTGTGGTTTTACGTAGGAGTTCGTAGGGGAATACAAGAGTTAAAAACGAATGAGCAAAAAAAATAAGCCAAGAAGGTTGTAATCACGCAAGTGGAAGTGATTGAATAATTATTTCCTTTTGTACGCAGAACTTTAGTTTCTCTGTCTGAATGGTTAGGAACTTCAGTAAAGTGTAGAGGAGAGGAGAGGGTATCGCAATAAGCAGTTGATTGTTCTTCATTTTAGACTACTTTGACGGCATAGTTTGTTGTGATATAATGACGAGTGTTTGATCAAGTGTTCAACTGTCGAAGTCGCCATACACCCAGCGTCGCTATCAGTATGGCAAGTCAACATTCACTTGAGCGGAACACCGGATCACATTCGTGGTTGGCGAGTATCCTACTGCCAAACCATTAACGCATATCACACAGTGAATTATTATTATTTACTGGACTGCTTAGTAACGAATACCTATGTTTGCTTCAAAGTTGACCACAGATTGATCTCATTTTGAGAGACAGTGAAGAGAACCAGGGAGTACTGGTGGTACAGCTGGCTGACACCTCCTACGATTGGACTCATCGGCAGTACGCGAACCATCGGAATTCAAACTAAGTAACTATTTATTAGAAGCTGGGGTCGTTGAACATTCAACTATAGGAACCTGAATCGATGCCTTGTCCGTGAATTCCAGCTTCTACCGACTCATGAATTATTTTATGATCTATTACAACAGGATGAACGGGGTAAAGGAGTTTGATAACTGATGCGTTATTTTCTGTTTTCAGCTCAATTCTGATTGCTGGGTTGATTGATTGGACCGAAATGTTCCACTTCTGTTGACATGTCAGCTCCCTCTCCGTGGATGCTTCGACGATGTTTGAGGACACGACTTGAAGCAATTTGGTGGATGGTGACTAGCAGTGGAGTGCAGGATGCACATTTCGAGTTTTTCGAGATGTACCTGCGAACACCAGTAAATGATTGTGTTACCACCGACACTTGAATCCAGCACCCAACCATTAAACCACTTGAGCCATGATAGCCATATGCACTGAATTCTTTATTTATCCATTCAAGTGAGAATACGAGAAATAGATATCATTCAATACCTGTCCACCTTGACATTTGAAACATTCTACTCTCTTGACAGGGAACGGAAAGGAAGCATAAGAACTAAAAATGTCACCTCTAGAAGTTGTGTGATTACACTTCGATGATATGATTCTGAACAATCAGCACTTCTGTCGAAGCTTAGTTATCCTATGATACTTTCTGATCATGTGTGTGATATACATTTCTATGAAATAACACGTTCACACCACAACCTGTTAATTTTACACATCTGTTGAGATTAATTTCATATTGGTGTAGTCAATTTTATATTTTCTGTCTTTTAGTTATAACCGACACCAAGTATCAGACACTAGCGAAGAATGTGGTTGAGTATCTGAACAGTGAGTACTCGTGTTGACTATCAGTGAATTGAAGGCATAATACACCATTGAATAATGTCAACCACGTTTATCATAAAACCATGAAACCACCTACTACTGATCGACTCTAATGAGTACGTGTAGAACACTTGCATCAACAGGCAGTAGGGCGTGTAAGCCAGGTAGATCAAAGTGATCTGAACACCACCAAATGACCATTTATCGCCTTCTGGCGGCGAGTTCATCAGCGGTATGACCAGTCTGACTAGACTAAAACCACCCGATTGTCGGCTGGCTACTTCGGTAAGCTGGTAATAAATCAAATCAAAGCAGCATTCCACACAGTTCGAGGAGGTGAAATTTCACCGCTCAGTTTTCTTAGAAGACGGAAATTATTCACCGATCCACTAAATGTGAGTGTGTAATGTGCTTGATATCATAAGTGGTAATCAGCGAAGCCGGCCCAATCGCATAACAGTACGTGCTAATTATTGCACTGTTATGAGTGCTGTCATGCATTCCATAATGAATAATTTCTATTTCGAGAATGGAAATATGCGTGAATAATCACCTGGAACTTGTGTAAAATATGAGTTGATTTTCAAAGTGCCAATTCAACATTGTTGAGGCTCAATCAGTAGCAACGTCTTCCACTGTGACAATTACATTCACATATCTCTCCAACTACACGTTATCTCCATTTTGTGTTGAAATGACTCACGAATGATATTTGCATTGATTACAGAACTGAAAGACGACTCTTACTGGAAGAACGTGAATGGACTATCGCAGTTCCGTGAGGAATTTAAGGGTATGCATTGTTTACACAATGACCTTTTATAACATGAAGTAGACTAGAAAAACTTGATGTTTGATATTTAACATGTGGAGACATTGACATGATAACCACTTGGAAGGAAATATTTCGAAAGCTGAGATCCAATCACAGTCAAACTACTTCCCCAGTTTGACCAACAAATAATTGATATCTGTTTGAGGGCCACTGGAAGGTATCTGAGAAAACCGAGCAGCTGTTTTGTCGTGGTTTGGCGTTGTTCAACGGTACACATCAATGAATCTACACATTGGTGGTCAAAACCAGGAGCTACAGGTCCCGAGATGAGATCTCTGACAGTTCAGTCATCAGGATAAGATCCAATCACGCACTCATGTATGTCGATATCGTGCCCTGTGTTCGATCTCTTGTGAATGGGTTAATGGACTCGTACTACAACAGCGACCTGCTTAGACCTTTGCTTGATAAACAACCCTTCATCATCATGCTGCGTTCAATTTCATCTATTAAAATGTGACCTCAAGTCTTATTGTTCACTCTCGCGGATATTTGAAATTGCAGAAACATTGTGGATTCCGCGAATTCCGAGTTAACTCGGGAAAAAGCGTAGTTCTTGAGGGTTCCTGAGATTATGAGTACAATCTACCGTACCCTGTCAATTGAAATTACCTGTCTGCAGTCTCATATGTCTTCTCATGCATACCGAAATACGAGGATTCTTACTCTTCAAGACACCTGGCTCTGTGATCAGTATGGTGATAATTGAGTCTGTCTCAATGGTTTCAGACCACTAAGACAAGATCCATGCTGCTGTGGAAAACGCGGCGTTGGTGTTGGAGATTTGAGTTCCCTTGACTGCAGTTTGCCTTTATCATTAGTTCATGAAAATATTGGTCCCATGATTCTAGTCTTGTAGACGGCACTTCAGCTGGAACTAAGTTGAGTGTTGAATACCTGGGATTATGTATTTCCTCCGATATCACTCACTCTCTACTTTGACAGTGTGTTGATTCTTGTGTTCTACCCAGGCTGTTTTATTTTTTTACCTCAATCTTCCCTGAATTATTTAACAAAAGACTTTGTCTCATTTCGGAGGCTAGTATGCGCTATTGTTATGTCGATTGAGATGTCATCAAACCAGCTTGTTAATACTGTTATAAATTGACACGAGAACTCACAGGAGAAATCAGTGAACAGTCGCTTTTCGGACTATGAGCTGCCTCACTATTCACAAATCTATCATCCCTCTTCATCATAAATCCATGGAAATCTCTATGCTACAACGACTGACTATGAAACTCTGCAAAACTAAGCTTTGAAAATTATTTCTTGTACACAGAAATCCTACGTTTTCCAATGGAACTGCCTAAACTATAAATTCTGTTGTCACTTCGCTATGGCCTTTTCAGAAATGTTCACACCTTTAATGCATTCATAATTTGTGTCTCCACTTCAAATTGATGCACTGCAGAGCTTATAGATACATTAGAACGTGAATGTGTTAAATGCGCTTAGTGAGTAAATCATGTGTCTGCATTTATCTGATGTTCAGGTTACACCGAAGACGTTGAAAAGAACCACAGTGAGTTTATTGATATATCCGATACGTCTATACATATTTATGAATATTTGCATGAATGTGTTTATCTATAAATACCTGGATAGATATTAAGACGGATAAATCGATGATAGATGGAGAATTTTCACAGTGGCTAGCCTATTCACGTACCTCCTGTTCTAGTTTTCATGTGTTTGCGTTTTTCTAGATCGTAATGCTGTAGAAGATATTGGTTCCGAACTGGGACATGTAGAATCGAAAATTGACCTAACTACAGGTAGATTCTGATCTCCGTGAGAAAGTATTTTTCATTATATGTATCTAGTATGGTGGTAGATAGACCGACTTTTGATTTCGCTCCCCACCCCGACACTGTTCTACACAATCATGTTTTTCGGATAGTATCATGGAGATCCTGACTTTGAGGATATTCATCTTCCTGGACTTCCATACACACAGTTAAAATAGGTATACGACGATTGCAGAATTTCAAACTTACTGTTCAACAGGCGTTGAGATAATCCCCTTGTGGTGCAGACGATGTAACTCGGTAATTGCTGAACACGATTCATATGCCCATGTCGGGTCATCAATGCATCCGACTACTTCAGTGAATTTACTCTAAGTGGATTTCAATACAATTCAACCCAAAAATGTCAGCCAAAGTCATCAACCGCATACACAGTATACTCAACTCATTTGTAGAGACGTTTAGACAAATCGAATTCTCAGTCATCTATACCGAACGGGATCATTTCCCCTTTATACCCTTAACCAATCCACTCATCCATTACAGCTGTGGGCATGACCAGTCTCAGATGAATAACACCATTCTCAACAATGTCCAACCTACTTGTGACAGTAGGTGTTATTCAAAAACACACTGTTGAACATCGAACGTTCACACTGTGACTCTGAATAAGTGAGATGTGAAGTGATTTGTTGGGTGGTGACTAGCAGTGGAAACCAGGATGCAAATTTCATGCAATTTGAGATCCTTCATTTTGAAGTGAATGTATTCTCCAGTGGGCGGTAGTCTTTCTAGTGAGACACAAAACCAGTATCCACCAAACACCAAGATATCATTTACTATATTACTGGGGTCACGAGACTGAGCCGCTCCTTGTGTAACAGGCATCAGTTTTGGCTTGTTTTGAGTCAATTTCGATTTTTCCGTTGGCTGACTGGACTGGAATATTTAACCGATGGGGATTGTAGGTGCGTCCAACTAACGAGTTCTAAATAAGACTAGACAGGCCTCGTGAATTCCCCCACTAGTCACCATTCACCAAATTATTTCAACTCAATCCACAGACTTCGTCAGAGCGTCTCTACCAGGAGTCGACATATCGACAAAGGTCGACAATTTCTGCCCAGTCAGTCAACAGGAAAATCGAGATCAACACAGGGTAGACATTTGATTCCACACAAAAAGAATTCGTGTTTCTGTAGAAAATGCTGAGTCTAACACTGTATTCTACTGATGATTTGCAGTCTATGATAATTTGGTGAAATCTCTTGAAAATGCATGGACGGCCAGAAAGGATCTGTATGCGACGGCAGGTTAGTCGACATAGCATTGCTCTTCTTGTTGTCGTTGTTTCAACGTTATTCAATGCGAATGATAACAGAATTGTCATAGATTCTGTTTCCATTTTTTCTTCTTGCTTATCCATGATACCTACAATAAGTTCGACAGTCATTAAGAAAGCACAGGTCGACAAAGAGATCTCCTCTTGTAACCTCCACCAATCACAGCTTACACGTTTATTAAGGGTTGGAATGTGCAATGTTAGATAACTTCAAAAGTCACCACCTATTATACGACAAATAATAATGTATGAAGCAGCACTCATAAGGGTTACGTGGTTGCAGCGGTTGTCAAGTAATACGTTACACGATGAGTAGACATTTGGAAATGCTTGGCGGTGAAACAAGAGAACTAGGAATGAAAACAAGTCACACAAATTGACTGACTAAACCGAGGTTGGAGGGTACTACAACACTATGCAGTGCAGTGGATAAAATCTGTATCAGCCTCATTGAAAAGTGGTCGATTGTCTTGAACTGGATCACTCACCACACTGCGTAATGTGCGAAGACAGGAATATGTTGGATCGGTGAGAAGACTATGCATTATCTGGACTTTATGGACGATTATAGCTGAATATCGCAAAATTTCGAAGACTGACGGATGATGAGAAACGAATTGACATAAGTGGTACGAAGCGAAGACAGAACTTCCAATGAACACAGAGAAGAGGAATATCATGACGATAACCAGCCAACAATTCAATCAGCAAGCAACAACAACAACATCCAACATTAACCACCATCACTAGTGGGGAATTTGAAAGAAATCGCCGTCTTCACTCATTCAGCCAGACAGTGGGGTTTCAACTACAACCAGCCTCATGGATGACGATGTTGAAGTCAGTCAGGATCGGAAAGACAAAGAGAACTCGTGATTCAGAAATCAGTTTGCATATTTACTTCACTCAGCAAGATGAACAAAATTTTGATTTTCAGCAGCAATATTGACTCAGTTCTTCTATCTGGTTGAGTGACTTGACGTGCGCCTCATTGGAAGCATTTCCAACAGATGACTGTAGAGTTGAATCATAAGGCGACGCTTCCGATCCATATTGAAGGTTAGCTGGCCAGATGGAATTTCTATTGTTGTACATTATTTTGTTCCTTTGTGATTCGAGTGGAAGATACAGCATCAAACGTGATCTTTGAACTTTCAATAACTGTTGTGCTTTGTACATAGTGGGATTCCTGCCCTCACAGTGATGCTTTCTGCTTTTTGCTGGCTTATAATCATCTGAGTGATGCAAGGGTGTGTCGGCTATCAGCTCATTTCCAGGCCTACATGCACATTCGGCGTGGAATCTAGTATTGAACCACCGAATAAGCAGGAAGCAACTACGGAAACAAACTCACCAGTGGCTAATTGCACAATAAATATTCACCAGTAAATGGGTTATGTCGGAAACACGGTGAAGAGACAGTCGAATGAAATGATGTGACAGACCATCAATCGATTGTAACCTGAACGGAAGACATGTTTGATTGGAGATTAGGAACATAAGAGATCTCTTCGCTAACTGAAGAGTTCCGAATCACAGACATAGTAGTGGGAGCAGTACTGAAATACTGAAGGTATCTGTGGAGAAGAATAATTTGACAAGTATTTATTTGAGAGAGACTGTCGACAGGACAGTAATAACAGTAGTAGTTTTAGTTGTAGTAGTGTCAGCATGAGCAGCGTTTTAAACTAGTGGGAAATATAGTCAATTTGTTGATTGATAGGAATGAAGTTTCTCTCTACGCTGGAACATCCATACAATTATGCCCAAATGCTCAAACCTACTCATCACATAAAACTGAACGAAATACTCCGAAAATATGGACCATCCTTGTTTCATGCCAGAAATCTCACTGACCTGGATCCACTCAACAATAGTGAGTGTCGACTCACAACTATTAGTCAGGATCAACTACTTTATTTTGAAATAAATTTCGCGAAACACGTTTTGTTGTTTGTTTTTTGAACTGTGAGTTACATTCATGATATTTTTCATTGATAGCTGTGAACTATGCAGCTGCGAACATGCTGAAGATTCCCGAAGTCAGTGATGCAAGTGAGTGAACAGAAATATGCAAAGTGTATGCGTATTTGTTTGTTTACAATGAATGTCTTCAAGTAATTTAGAGGTGTGATATCCAGCTTACACCAGTCAGAGATTCGTTGTGAGTAAGTAGGGTGTACTGGACAGACGTTGCCTCCTATTTCGGGACTTGTGAGCAGTACGTGCTTATCGAGGTTCTTTCCAGGGTGTTTTACGAATACAAAACGTAGTTGTAGACCTTTCAGACACTGGGAACTGATCCACTGTTTCATGAATTCCAACTCCTATGAATAGTAGCATAGTCAGTAATTAATTTAAGTTCTCAGGTGATAGATGTTTCATTTTCTCTTCCTACCATGGGTTGATGGGTGTTTTGCAGTGGCTTGTATCGTTATCCGAATATCGTTAGGTCACACACAGGCATGTCTAACGGCCATTTGTACTGATGTGAGAGGAGAGTGAAGATCGTCATCCAGACACTAATAGTCTGGGGAGATTTGGCTGTTCTCCAAATTACTTCGAACGCCTTTTCAAAGTCGACCAAGTTCGGACGGAGATTTGACCGTCATTTTATGCTCTGTTCACCGACGATGCCCAGAGTTTCCATCGATCTGCTCCCCATCAATCCAGACAATCGATGTCGAAGTTGAGCATCCACTGCATCTTTTATTCCCTCCATTAGGATTTGTCCATATAATTCCATTTAATTATTGTCCTGCGAGTCTATTGTTTGTTGATGTGATTTTCCATATATCTGGTGTCAGTGTCTGATGCTGTGTCACTCCAAATGCACGTGTTGTGCGTATATTCGATGAATAATCACTCAGTGATCAAGTTTTCCATCCTCTCATGTATAATACATTTTAGACGTGTTGCTCTGTTCCATCCCACTGTGCAATCGTGTCTTATGACATGCATTTCAGCTACTCAAGTTTTCTCTAAGCTGTTCATCATGTGATTCAATGTCACCTCACTTGTTGTTTATAATGGAAGACTTAAATAAGTTTCTTCGAAACAATGCGAAAGCTTGAAGTAACACGTCAAGCAACTGAAATCATAAAATCAAACGATATCAGGAGGATCGGTGAAAAGTGAATCTCCTCTAAAATTCATTAGGTGGATATGAAAAGCTCAAAATATTAGTACTAAGATGAACAGGGAAAAATTTGAGGCGCCACAGTTTTCCCATATAAGGAAGAAACATTTGGAGTTCTACGCAGATTTCAGAGAAAATACGGTATAAGAATGTGGCTGTCACTGAGTTCTACGAAATGACCTAGGGACAAGCTTTGAATGCAGAAAGACCCTATTCACTCAATCAGCGAAAAATAATTCTATTTGCACAAAGAACCTTCTCTTAAGTATCAGCTACACAGGTTTAGCCAGTGGAATTCGTCGCAGTCAGTCAGGAAATCGAATCACACGCATTGACTTCACTGTAGAATGTTGACCCGAGTAGGAGATAATGTCACAGTTGCACAACACGATGACACATTTCACTTATTTCATTGCAAACGTGTACTGAGTTCCAAGAGAGTAAATGACACTTGTGCTAGTGTTTGTCTAATGTACATACACAAATACAATATTAACACCTCATGATAACATGCATTTCAATTTTCCACATTTACTCAAACACACAAACAATTTACTTCAAATTTCACCTAAAAGTATTGAAATGACACTCTCATTAAAATTGAGTTCTACTCTTCATTAGATGAACTAACTGCCGGAGAAGACTTGGGAAATCTTATTGAAAAGGATTTTATCCAATCAAGAGGTAAACAAATGTCAAATTTCAAACAAGCACCACACTTTGTTATCTCGAATCATGCAGAAGCAATGATTTGTGGTAGTCCGTCGTGAGGGGATGAGGGGACTCTCAACTGGTTGAGGATGTTGTGTAGTAAGGCGATGACAGCTCGTCAACTGAATCATCAAGGTCAGTGAACACAACTACACTGGGGAACACTCATCCAACGTGGATCAATCTTCCTTCCATAGTGCCTAATTGCTTATCTCAAATTACCTACAACAATTGAGTAAGTAATTACTTAGACACGGTGAATAATTAGCCTCATCTGCAACTGCTTCCCGTCTCAGGTGTGTATGCGTGCGTTCATAATGAGCAATAATGTGCTGAAACGGAGAACACCCATTTCATGTTGACTGTTTGATTGAATTGTCTTTAAGTTTGCCTCATTTCATTTTATCACATTTTGTCCAGAGAATGTTGAGGAGAAATGTTTGCGAATGTCAGGAATGCAACTAGATCAAAATGGTAAGTCCCAATTTGTGTGGGTGCACCAGCTGACCAGCAACATCATCAGATATCGCCTCCGATGAGATCACTTTATTGTTTATGGTGTAATGTGATATCTGTACTGCCTGATTGTCACCACAAAATCTTCTTGTGACAGATATGCAATTGTGAATCGGAGTGTTTGTCCCACTTAGCATAGGAGTACCTGCACCGATCAATCGATACCAGCATTACATATATGCACCGCGAAGAAATGTGATTTATCCTTTCACCGATACATCGATCCATACATGCACTTCATACGTGATGTATGTTTTACCATGTATTGTTATTCCTATTTTTCCTTTGGGTTCTGAGTGGAACACGGGAATTGAAAAGTATCTCTCGACTTACACTGTTTTCTGCCGTCATCTTGACCTGACCTCACGATTGTCCATCAATACATATCTTCTCTTCACTCGAATTCACGCCCAACTCGTCGCTTCTTATTTTGGTTGCACTCGGCGATTTGTCATACATGTGTGATAACACTGAATAGTCTTCTCAATGTGTTTCTGATCCATCTGTATTTTCTTCTGCATTTTTATTGGGTGACATTTTCTTGGTAAATTTTCTTGCAAATGATTTAGGTGCCACACAGTCATGTTTCTGACCGATCCAGAAGAAGTCAACGACTTTACACTGGTGTTGAAAATTTGAATCTGGTTCCTCATAGTGATTTCAGATTGGTTGACTGCCTATCTTGCCACTCCGATCCTGACACGCTTTGACGTCACTCGTACTATCTGATTGTAGTTGAAACGAATCCCTTAGCTTAGATAAGTGAAATAAGTGACCACATTCATATTTTTCTCACTGAAATTGATTTGTGATTGCTGTTGGTCATCTTTATGTTCCCCTGCAGTCCTGCCTTTTCTATCTGCCACTTCTGGAAACAGTTGGTTTTCACCTATAACATCCATCTTCGGTGTTTTTCGACACTGAGCCTTAATCACTTAATCCTTATTTACTGGATGCAGTAAATAATACTGTTTCACTGTGTGATACATCTAATAAACACACTAATATGGAATCAATTTCCAATTCTCTGACAACATGCAACTCGTATCACTATTGAGCGAAGTTGCTGTTCAGCATCACCGGGACTTCACCAGTTCTCTAATTGATGTCAAGCAGTGATGTAAACAAATCGTACATCCTTCTATTTACTCAATATTATCTACCTTCTAGGTGAATATGGAACAAATGTCCAGTGTATCCACTTGCGTCAAGTTCGCTGGGGCCATATGCTCTACTCGTAACACAAGGAATGCAAAACCAATTTCTACTTGTCACTCATAGCATTTGAATCCCCCATTCATCTTTAATTCTATGTGTCTGCTAACCACTTCTATCAATATCCTCACATTTTTCTCCCAGCTGCCAATGAAATCCTGACGAAATCAGATTCGACAAGTGAACCAGTGTCTGAATTCAGAGGTGCTGTTGGTAAGCAAAACATTGTGTGATTGCAAACCTCCTGCCCTCTTCTGTTAAGCTATTTCAAATACTGACAAAACTTTGGAAACTGAAACAAAGAAGGTCTGTGCGTATGTCTGCAAGACACGCGAAACGTCACCGGCATTACACGTAGTTAAGAGGTATTGCATGCTATTTGAAAGGAAATTTAACGAGGGCGAGATTATCATAGAATATTCAAGAGTTATTCTGTAAGGATTTGATTTCCTGCAAGTTTGATCATGGTTTGACATGAAAAAGAGAACTACTGTATTGAACAGGTGTTCTTTCCTATTTAGGGGTCGTTCGTCAGTACCTCCTCAAAACGTCAGCCCTCGATCGAACCTAGAATTTTAACATGACCGCCAGGTATTGTCGTAGGCGAGTATTTGTCCCCACATTTCACATGGTGAACACCACTTGGTCACGAATTGTCAGTAGAACTTCAGTCGACTTCGTCTTGTAGTCAATCACTAGCGAGTGTCATAACCTGAATGTCTTTGATCCCACCACTCACAGGTAGGTTCATGCGTGTTGACTGACGAAGATTCCCAAAGTAGTAGTGGACAATCAGCTGGTCAGTACTCCCAGCTGCTTTTTCAATGATTCTCTTTCTGATATCAACCTGTGATCCAAACTTAAAAATGTTGAATCCCTTCCAACTGAAGCTTGGAAGTGAAGCCGTTTGCCTATTCTGAAGTTGATCAGAGTAAAAATCTTTTTTTATGTGGTCGATAAATGTCGGATATATTCCAAACATAATTAGTGGTAAAAATGTGTTAGAAAAGTCACCTTCAGACACTCAACTCATCGCCATACATTCGGGTTTCGTTCGATGCCCGGCATGGGGAATTATTTCACTAAACTGTCTTCTTCCACTTCCATTTTCCTCTGTGCATTTCTTCGGTCACAGGTTCTTGATTGATTCGTTGCTAGAGTTTCTTGTTGCTCATCCATTTGCACTATCTGATCTTTAGTATGGAGTAAGCAAAGTAGCGTTCTGTCGATCCAAGTCTGAAGTAGTCTGTTGGAAATGCTATTCATAACACGTGAAGTCTCTCGAATACTTTACACCAGTACCGGGATTACGAATCTTGTTCTTTATGGTTAGTGCAGGAGATTTCCAAATCGACTTCAGAGTAATGAAGTTCTGCCTTTCCACTCGGAACCTGAGCAGATTTGCGATCTCAATCTGTGCCGACTGAGTATAGCTAAAACGATTCTGGCTGTAGAGATAAATGAAAGAAGCAACTTCCTTCAAATTTCCCCACCTGGCAGGTGTTGTTGTTGGTGTTTGGTTGGTTATCTTCTTCACCGCTATTCTCTCTCTGTCTGTTCATTTGAAATCTTGTCTTCGCTACATGCCTCTTATACCAGCTTGTTACCTTTCGCCTGTAGACCTTCTGGTGTGTGTGTGTGTGACATTTCCGTGAACTAAATTGAATAGCTTGAGTCGATCCTTCGCTTTATTTCTACTCTCACACAGGTAATAAACGTCTCACCAAGATATCTTGAATACATTTTCATTTCGGCTTCATTGCATCACTTAGATGTCTGAAAAGTCTTCAAATCTCCGTCCGTCTCTCTCCCTCTATCCATCTCTATCTCTCACACCCATTTGAGCCGCCTGACATGCTGATTGCATTGCAGTCTCGATTAATAAAATTCACCCTGCACCAAGAACACAGACCAGACGTAGTACAATCATTTCTACCTAGTGCCCTGTAAGAAGATCGTTTGCTCCGTTAGAACACCTAGATTGCAAGCCTGAACAAATCAATGATTACCTCTTTGATTGCAGGTAGCGTTGAATGACAAAGAGTTCTAATCAATCTCAGAAGGGAAACGAGTTGTTCCTTGAAGATTGTAGGTATTACATTGCTGAATGATGAATGCCAGCAAACCCAACAGGCGGGACACCTGAGTGTCAGACAGAGCTTTCTGCCTGCCAATCGCCTCCAACCAAAACATGACATTCATTCGTATCATCACTCATAGAATCCAGACACACACACACACTGAAATAAGGAGGAGGAGGAGAAATAGACAATGTGCGACGTAAACATTCACCTGTTTCTAAGAAGATATTTTTTCAATCAATATTTCCACCTGACATTATTTTACATATTTAGCTCAACTGATTTCTGAAGTAGAAAAGGTTGAGAAGCTCCGAATCGACAGGCTTTCCAGTAAGTTCAAATTTCCCTTATACAGTAATGAATACATTTATGTTTAGACCAGACACCCTTGAGTATTGCGAATATAGCTGTCAATGCAATGTTTCGAGAGGCTTACCATAAATTTGGTAGGTGATTTAGAGGTCATTCTATTCATAGTACTCATTTTGCTGGTAGATAAATATTAAGCTGTCTCGTTATTACTATTTCTATTATTATTATTAGTATAATTATTTTTTGTGATTATTTCTCACTCGTTTACTCTTTATGTTCTGGGGTAATATAAAGCCTGAGATGTTACTTCCTTATTGGTCTCGGTTTTCTCCATCTGCAAGCACTCTTGACTACGTGTTGGGCAAAGTTTACACGCTTGTTTATTCGTCGATAGAGTTCCTCATTATTGTCTTTTCTAGCCGACCATCTGATTTCCAATACAGTGCTAAAAGGACAGCCGTTGATGAAATTATGCAGTAGCCTGTTGTAAATGGTGTTAGTCGCACTCCGAATTCCTGACGAACACAGAAGAATTGATAGCGTTATTAAAAGTCGGAGAGAGACTCTCCGTCTTCTAATAACGCTATCAAAATTTATAAAAGGACTAATTGTTTTAAATTTTTGAGCAGAAGAATTGACTGAACACCGATGTCAAAAATTTGAATCATGTTGTTAATGATGAGTAGTGCAGTAGATTTCCAGACTGCATTTCGAGGAATGAAGTTCTGTCACGCCTTTCCGATTCGGGTTCGAAATCGTTATGGATCCGTACTGTGGTGGAATGAATCCTGCTCCAACTAGTCAAAGAAACTAGCTATTTTGGATTTCTGTCTCTGATGGTGACTGCCAAATGTTGTCGATAATCCGCTATGGTAAACCATCCTATTCCCCTTATCTTTACCTGAAATTCCGTTCCTGATGCTTCTCTCAACCTATCGCTTTCATGTATATACATATCTGAATTTGTCCTATAATGAGTCACACATTTTCTGTGAAACCCAAGTTTTCTAGTGGTTCGATGTTTGATGGTCGTCTCATTCCTCACAGTATGTTACACAGTCGAATCATCTACGACCACGAAGATAATCTCCGATAGCATTTAGCCTTGTCTTACTTCTATCCACACTTCAAATGCTTCGATGAGTACTGAAACGATAATTACCTAGAATGAAGCTGGTGTTGTATAGCTGGTGTTCGCGTATGTTTCTGGCACCACACATTCTAGTATTCAACTAACGTTCAAATCACTTCGTAGCCGTTGATCTTGACGGTATTCTTCTCACAAAGTCGACATTGGATTCTGTTTTCTGTGTTGCAA